GGGGGGGGTGGTGCAGCTGTGATTCCTGGTTTCTCCTCCAGACGTTAAAAACCAGCTGCCAGCAGAGGTAGCAGCATTTCTATTCATGCAGTGAGGGAATTCAACTGACTTCATAGCTCATCATACTCTATCTAGTTCCTGATAATCTTTTCACTCAACTGGTGTTAAGGGACCCTCTCCTTTTTCAGTAGTTTTGATGTTCCACTAATCAAACTCTCCTTTCTTCTGCAATTCTACTGTCTGTTCACTGATCCTGATCACATAGCTCCGATCACTCAGCCCCACAGACACTTTTAACTCTAGCTAAAAACATTGATTCAGGTGTGAAAACCTTAGCTGAGGTAAACATTAACTGAGGTGTGGAAATAACTTCCAGAGAAGCATTGGAGGTACCATCACGATGCTCAAGAAGGCTTGTTTTAGTTTTATTAATGTAAAACCCATTGCATTCTAATGACTGCAGGGCTAATGAAACAATGTCTTTTAATTATTTTTTCTGAGTTTGTTTTGTTTTTATATGGACTATATGATACACAAAATTCATACACATCCCAACAAAGCTATATCTGATTGCGTTTCTATCTTAAACTACATCCAGCCCTAAGCCCCTAATATAGAAACTTTACTATTATTTTTTAATTGGAGAAAAATACGTGTTGTGTTGCACACAATGAGGCACCACACCATCTGCACCCCCCTTTCAAATTCTAGATTTGCCCATGGGCAGTGTTACAGGGGCTACATCTCCCCAGGCTCAGTGGAAGAGCAGCAGAGGCGGGCTGTGTTTGTGTGGGGGAGCTGGGGGACATAGGTGTGCGTATGCTCGTTGGGTTGAACCTGGAGGCATGGGGCTGGAGGGAGGTGCTTGTAGGGTCCAGCAGATTGCTCTTGGGGGTCAATCTCTCAATGAGCTAGGCACAGAAAGGAGCTAGTTGGAGAAATGCACTGCTGATACAACAGGTATTGGCAATGGTGAGGAAGAGTGGAATATCTTGCATGTAGCACACGTGGGTGGGGAAGGCCTAGTGGTGAGCAGCTCCCAGCAGGCGCAGGGGCCAAAACTGGTGTTCACTGGAAGCTGGGTCTGCAGCTGAAGGCAGTGGCCTGCCACAGGGCCTGACCTTGGGGCAGACTCCCTGCACCTTCTCCAACCCTGGTGCAGGGGGGTTCCACCCCCTGCTCCCCTAGCCCCATCCCTGGCCAGCTACGCCCTGTGGTGGGGCAAGGAGCTATATAGGGGAGTCTTTTTGCTGCCTGGAGGGTAGCTTTTGGGGGGCTCCAGTAGCCTAGGGTGACGGGCACGTGGTAGGGAGTCCTGTTGTTGGGTGCCCCAGCTGGGCCGACATTGGCACCCCGGGGGGGGGGGGGGGGGGCAGGGCCTTGGTGGGCGTGACTTCCCCTTGTAGGCGTGACCAGCACTGCGCTCTGTAAGGCACGTCTAGCCTCTGGTACATACATACTCCCCCTCCCTTTCCGGAAAAGGGGTGTGGCTTTGTCGCTCCCAGCGCCCCTCTCTTATTGGCCCTCACAGAGGTGAGGGCGTGGCCTTGGCGACAATTACCACCTCCCCTCCACCCCGCCCTCACACAGGCAGGTCCTCGCGTGCCCGCCCTCTGTTGGGTCACGCGCCGGCAGCAGCGGGCGTCCATTGGCTGGGGCGGCGGGGGGCGGGGCGGTTGCTCCGGATGGTTGTGGCGCTCTCTGGAACGTTCGGGGCCCGGGTATAAATGGGCTGAGGCTGGGGCGCTGGCGGCGATCGCGGCTGGGCGGCGCCATGGGTAAGGATTACTACAGCACGCTGGGCCTGCAGCGCGGTGCCTCGGACGAGGACATCAAGCGGGCCTACCGGAAGCTCGCGCTGCGCTACCACCCCGACAAGAACAAGGAGGCTAGTGCCGAGGAGCGCTTCAAAGAGGTAGCCGAGGCCTACGACGTGCTCAGCGACCCCAAGAAGCGGGAGGTCTTCGACAAGTACGGCGAGGAAGGTGAGCGCCCGCGCTGTGTGAGGGGCTTGGGGGGGGCCGCAGGGCTGGGGACAGGGAGAGGATCCCAATAGCAGCGGGGGGGGGGCAGAGCTGCGGGGGGAGAGATGCCCCGAGGTACCCGGGGGCGGGTCCTGCTCC